CTGAGCTTTTCTCTCACCCTTTGGGATGGCACATAGAGTCTAGTGAGAAATAAAACACTGCTCAGCTGTAATCTTTAGAGCTTGGCAAACTTCTCAGAGGACATGAGCAAACAGAACCAAACAATCTGGCTACTTCTGTGCCTCTCCTTGTACTTATGGCAAAAAGGAAAGATAAAATTTCATCTCAAATCAATGTTTGAGAAAAATCCTTATCTATTCACCATTATTTATACAGAAATAAGTGATTGATATTCAAGAGCTAAGCACTCTAATGCCCCAGAAGGAAACACAGCACACCTCTGCTGCTGGGCTTTGCAGACCTCTACCTTGAACTGTAAGCTCACATCCCTCCAGGGTCCTGATCCCTCTCAGGCTGTGCTCAGGGAATGGACTGGATAATCATTTCTTAGCCACGACTTCACCCACCGCCTATCATACAGAGCCTGTAATGGATACAGAATTCCTTATCCCTACCTGCCCTCCTCATTTGCAGCACCTTGGTGCATTATAAAAAGTAATACTTGAAATTTATTGTAGAGAAATCCTTTATTAGCCCATGGAGAAAAGGCAAAGCATGGAGATCTGGAGCTGGTGCTATGAGCTGTAACAGAAGCAGAATTAGGCCCTGGAATCTCCTGGCTCAGAACTCAATTAACTCCTCCAAGCCTCAGGAACCAGCACAGCCCATCCAGGCCTCCTTGCACTCCAGGGACAGCTCTCCCAGTCATCAGTTTAGAAGCCCCAAACTCGACACACACAAGATGCAAATAAATCTTGAAAAGACAATGTGGTCAGCTAAAAACTGGAGCAGTTTCCCAAGCGAAGTCCATTCCCTCTCTCTGATGTCTGGAGGAACTCTCAGCAGCAAAACCCAAGCGAGGGCAGGTCCCTCCTCCCCGCAGGGTTCTTGTGACACCCTTAACAGAAGTGATTTGTCTGTACTTTTTCAAAAAGTAATTACAAAATGAAGGCTTGAAAATTAAATTTCTATGGGTATTTAAATGAGAAATAATAATTCAAGGAGATTATTTAGTTGAGGTGAGAAAAAACAAGTCAGAAGGAATCAGCAAGTGCTTTTGAATTCATGAAACTCAGACACACCTGAAGTTTGTACCAAGGCAGTGCCACAGCTGCCTCATCACAGCCAAACAAATTACACAAAACTCAAAGCCAAGAATTATCAAATGCAAGGATAAGTGGAAGAAGAGGAAGAAAAACAGCTGGGTTCACTTGGGGAAAGAAGATGACAAGAGGTGAAACAAATAATTTAGTGAGAAGTCTTGAAATAGATTTACAGAGCAAATAAATCTGCATGATCAAACTCAGTGCCTGTGTCACCCATCCCAATTTTTAGATCCTCATGTATCTGTTCTTTTTATAAAAGCTTTAACCAAGCCACAGTAACCAGTGACTGGGGAAAAATCAACCTGGGAATATTTTCAGCTTGTGTCATTATACTTTTTATTAAAATACATACATATTTATTTTTCCAAGATGAATTACAGACACAGATCTCCAAAACTTTGTAAATCTATTTTTAATCCATGTTTTACAGCAGCTTTTTTAAACCCTCTACCCTTCTTAAGATCTAACTGGCACTTAAGTATCAAAGACAGATTTGCATTTCAAAAGGCAATTAAAAAACATACTGTACCAAGGCACTGATTAAAGTGTTGTGGCTTTACATAAATTAGGCAGTTCCTTTGACTTTCCCTACTTCAAATCCATCGTAGCAATGGGAAAATCCTACACATTACATGGACTGCATGACCACCTTCTCCCTCCACTGCCCTTAGAAACTGCTGATGACAAACTCAACCTTCATTTCCTTGAAGGAACCACACTGAAGGCTCACATTGAATGGGAAAGAGATATTCATGTCCCCCCAGACTGCTGCTCATTACAGAAAGCTAACATTTATTGTTGTTTGCAGTTCACAAAAATCAAGGATTTTTTACTACTACAAGCCTGGTAGAATAGCAAACACTTAATACCAAGGTGCACAGAATTTGAAGTTACAGACTAATTCAAGTGTTCTTCACAATCAAATATTTTATCATATCCCCCATCTTTTTTAAATCTAAAGGCAGCAAAGATCAGTTTCTTTAAGAGATTCAGTTGCCACAGAACCTCTTGATCATCACACCTCCAAAACCCAAAGAGCAAAGTCCTCTCATGGATAACCACGCAGGGAAAAGGTTCTTTGAAGGCTCATTGCCACATGCCCAGTGAAGCTGCCGTGATCCCCTGCCCTGCCAGGGCACCTCACAGCAGGGTCACACAGCACACAGGAGGATGCAAAGCCCAGCCAGTCTGTCTCTGACACAATTCCTTCCATCCCTGACCCAGCAGCCCAGGCACTCCGAGCACGTGGTTTGGGTTGAGCTTTTCATACGGTGGTTCACTAAAGAAACCCCTGTCACCCTACGGCAACAAAACAGCTGCAGATTCCAAAATCCAAAAACTTCAGATTCCTCAAACTAGAATATATAGAAAATCCTTGAAATAACTCGAGAAACTTATCCAAATTTGGCCACCTTTCTGCAGGTGGATTGCTCAGCATCATCCATTGGCCATGCAGTTCCAACTCTGAAAATTCCAGCCCTGGAATTATCCACATGATGGAACACCACGTGTTTTAACTGGATTTCCTCACCCTGGACTCCCCGACTCAGCAGAACTTGTCATTTTCAAGAGTTATTTAATGAGTAAGAAGCTGTTAAAACATGCAACCTACACTTCATAATGTTCCCTTTTAGAGATCAGGTGCCTGGCAGCACCACACTCACACACAGCAGAGGAACCCCACATTCCACTGCTCAATTAAGGGAATTAGCTCCCTCCCACTGGAATTTTGAGGCCAAGGGGAGCCCTTACTATGCTAACAATGCCCACGCTCACCACAGCCTGAAAGCTGCCAATTATAACAAAGAGAGTGGGAAGGAATACTAAAAACCACTGTTAAAACTAAGAGATTCAAATGAGGACAAGAAAAGCAATAGGCTAAACCAGAATTTAAATATTCCACCTCTTCTTCCAAAGCCTTCAGCAACCAAAATGCCTTCCCCCCTACACAAGAGGATTAAACTCAGCATGGTCTTGCCCAATTCTTGGCACTTGACTGGGGTGGTAAATAGGTTTTCACACACTCACGTCTGCCAAAGCTTCTGCTGTGGCAGTGCAGCCAGAGGATGGGGCAGGTTTCCAAGGCACAGGATGGCAAAAGGCAATGCACAACATGTGTCAACAGCATTTCCTGTAGTTCTATTCAATAAAACTACCATTTTTATTGCATGGAATCAATCAATAATCTTAATACACAGCTGTAAGGTCAATATGTGCCAAAGGGGCAACTGGTTGTGTGGGGAAGGTCCTTACTGTCTTGGGCTCAACTGTATTTTTTCTGTTTTCTAGCTAAGATTGCTTGGAAAAAAAAAAAAAGTTCTCACCAGAACTGCATTGTTGTTTGTTGTGGGCTTTTTTTTTTTAAAAGTAGGCTCTTGGGTTTTTTGTTTTTCTTTTTCCCCCAAGTACTTGGGTTCTTTCTCAAGTACTAAAAGGCTCTTAAAGATTCCATCATTTTAGAAAATATCAATTGAAATAGTACCTTCTACCTAGATAGGAGAAAATGGAAGTGGAAATTCAGCAGACATTTTGGCTTACCTTCATTTTTAACCCCATTAACCTCACCTAATGATCATATAGAGCAGGCTGAGAGCAGAGGCAGGAGGCTGAAGGCTCTCATGTGGAAAGCGGAAGAATTAATCCCGACAGCAGCGATGCAAGGAGGTGGTAATTGCTCGAGAGAAATGTGGGAGAACTGCCTTTATTGTCCTCATTGCCAAGAAGCTCGGAAATCTATTCCTCATTAAGAGATTCTCAAAGTCACTCTTTTAAGGCATAAAACCCCAATTTTTCTGTTTCTGACATTGCTGATGTTTCACAACAATGCTACAAGGCAAGTTAATGGGAACAACATCCGTATACAAACGATGGAAGCGGCAGCTCTGGGAGATGCAGGAGCACCAGTCAGGAAGAATTCATTACCCTGAGACATTTATTAAGCAAAGGAAAAAAAAACTGTTTGAAAAAGGCTGGCAAACATCATTAGAGAAACAAAAGAAAATTGCTTCATAGACGTTTTTTCTAGTTACAGTGCCTTAGTTTACCTTGGTTTTTTTCTTTTGGTTGGTTTTTGAAGTCTCACCCTTACTCAGTAATTAATTACAAGTCTCTTCCTGCTTTACTGTTTACAAGACACAAACTGACAATACCAAGCCCTGAGAAATAAGCAAGTCACAGAACAGATCATTTTTCCCAGACAATCTTTATTTTCACCTGCAAACTTCACTCCCCCACTGCTTCATACCCCCCAAAATAAAACTATCACCTATCAAGTCTAAAGTGTACTCGAAACACCAAAGCTGAGGTTACGACTTGGGCTTTTTAATGGAAAATTGTATGCATTTGGCTGGTTGTTACTTTTCAAACTTCCTTGTTCACACCTGATACTCAAGAAACAGAAAAATACAACTCCCCAGCACGCCATCCTCGACCCATCTCCCAGTCCTGCAGGGATTGTACACACTGCTGTTAGGAGCTTCCCAAATGTTTCAGAGCAGGTAATTCTCCACATACAAGCACGGAAAGTTATTTTAAGGTTATTTATACAGAAAGAAAGTAAAATCCTGTTTTCTTCCCCTTCTAAGCTGTAGTAAATCTCCATTGTAATTTCAGACACCTGACATTCTCTTAATCCATTCATTGCAGCTTTCCTGATCTCCAGCATTTCCTGAGAAATACCCCACATTAAGCTGCTTACAGGAACAGACCACATGCCAACTCCCAGCCAGTAAATGAGAGCCACAGTCCCAGTTTCCCTGACAGCTGATGGAACCAGCTCCTGTCCCTTGGGAAGCACCTTCCCGCTTTTCCAAGGGCAGAACATTCCTTCCCATCACCACCATGCTCTCAGCCACACTCACAAACCAGAGCCTTACCTGCCACGGTGAGCTTTGCTGTCCTGCTCACGATGGTCCCCAGGCTGTCCACAGTTGCCACGCACTGATAATATCCTTCATCAGGTTTATTATGCTTGGAATGCACCACGCTGTTAATTAATAAAGATCCATCTGGCAGCAGCTGGCGGCGGTCGTCCGACACCAAGTTCAGGAAAGTGCCATCCTTTTTCCACTCGATTCTGGGAGGGCTCTCGCAATGAGCCGAGCAGTTCATGATCACCGATGCTCCACGCACCGACAGCACGTCCAGGGGCTCCACCAGGAAGTAGAAAGGAGTGAAGGTTCTCACAAGCGATTCTGTAAAACATCACAGAATTTTTGGGTTAGTTTCCCACAGTTTTTAGCATGAAACACACCCTCCTTGAAGATCCTGAAATGAGCACAAGCGCTACCACATCCTCCCCTTGAACAGATTCAACCAGCTTGGTCTGTACGACAGTGTTTTCTGCTTTGATTATTCACACCATGGACTCTCAGATTCCAAGACATTTTCAACCCTAAAATGTATTTCCCTGCTCTGCTCTTGGCCTCTGTGGTGTGGGCGCTGTCCCAGCAGTGCTGTCCTTTGTGGAACCAAGATTGGGAACCGTCAAGAACAATTCAGCTCTCAGGAGAAAGTCTCCCATTCTTAACACATCTTGCAAGTGTCACACAGTGGTTTTTTACTTCCATTCTAGCCCAGGATAAACATGATTACTTTTCCATTTTAAATATTCCCCAAAGAGTTCTGTAATTAACATCTAGTTTGCATTAAGAAGTGAATTTTAATTACTGTCTTTCTAGTGTATTTGGTCAAGCAGAACGATTGTGTGTCAATATCACTTTGACTTGTCTTAACTTAATCATCTGTAGAAAACAGAAGACAAATTCTTCCAGAGAAGTACATTTTTCCAATCAGCATAGCAATGGATTCAGGAAAAAGGGCATCTCAGTTTTTAAAGCCCACCTTTGAAACAACACTCATATAACAATAACTCCTGCACTCACCTCAAAACAATTTCATCTCTCACCATTGACCATTTCATCTTATTGTCAATAAAAAAAATGGTGAAATATTGTAAGACCACCCGAAAGACAAATATGCATTTAGTAACGAGATTTGTTTAATTAAGTCACAGAATAATTCTGGGGTTTGAGGAAAAAGCACAAACTCTGAAGGCGACCTTTACTTGCAAACAAAGGCCGTCCTGGAAGCATTGCAGCTTCTCCCATTGCTTGGTGATTTTAAAATCAGATTTACCTTCTAAAATGACCTTAATTAACAAATTGATATGATTTCCTCTATCACTGAACTACACAGAGTCCATGGTCTCCAAAGAGCCTCCAGCTCCCCCCCAGAGGGACTCCAGCCTTCCTGCACAGAGCCTTGTCTCTGCTACTCACAATTCACAGCAGCTTGGAGATAAGGCAGGAGTGGTGTGAAAGAAACAACAGATAAATGATGCCTTGGCAGCTGATAGCATTCAGATGCTCTTTTACCTTCAAGAATTCAAAGAGGAAATAAAGGAAAACATTCTAAGAAGACTGAAGTTTCCCCAGGGACAGTGTCAGGATGGAGACCTGTTAGGTTGGGATCCAAATTCTTGGGATTGTCTTTCTTGAGGGTAGATTCCAACCCACACCAGTCCACGATTCTGTGATTCTAAGTTTGGGAAATACAAGCCTGTTCACCTCACCCAATCTGTCCAGGAACTGATACCCAATTAATTACTTTCATATATTCCTACCCCTACTATTAAAAATACTCTGGGGTCTTCTAGTCCTCCTCATAGCTCCTCTCCTCAAGTTCTCACAAATACCCATCAGCTCTGACACCATTTCAGCCAAGACAAAACCCATCACCCCAAAGTGATCTGACACTGTTGAACCATGAAGTGTTTCCCGCCTGTCCTGCACCATTTTCTGTGCAGAGGTGCATCTTTATAACACCTCAGGTGAGCAATGTGTAGAACAGGAAATGCCAAGCAGCTGCACAAGTGGGAAGAAGCTTCCCTTCGTTATCCAGTTAATTTCTGGAAGACACAAGCACTCCAATATCCACCTTAAATTACTGAAATGCGTCCTTTAACAACTGCCTGCCACAAGCTCATCAGAAATTACAGCACTTAGGAAAATAACTCCAGACAAAACCACTCTGATCTCAGCCCTACTGACTCCACATCAATCACCTCAAACTGGTGTCTCAAGATTTTACCAGCAGTGCCACAGCTCTGACTTGGACCAGAATCGGTCCATCGTGATGCTCTCCTGAGGACGAGCAGTAGCCCAGCCCAGCACAGGGCTCCAACACCACGTTTCTCTTCACTTTGGAAAGAAACCCATCACATTTTACAAGGCACAAATGCAACAACCATCCAGAAGGAAAATGTGAAGCACAGGTATAATTTCAAAATTTCTTTTTCCAAACAGGATTATAAATGAAGGCAGCCAAACGCATCTTCTATCACAATTAGCTGACTTGAGATGAGCAGTACACCAGGCTTTGGTTTGGAAGGAGTCACACTGGGCTTTGATGAAGAAAGATCGCTCACTGCTCGGAGCTGAGCAATGATGTGGCACCAGGGGCAATACCTGTCCTGGCTCCAAGGCAATGTAGGAGTATGGATAAGGCACCCTTCAAGCTGGACATGTAAAACAGAAGCATCTGACAAGCCCTGATCAGACTGGCAGGAAGTGTTAGACAACCCCTTCTCACACATACTGAGTCAATGATAAAAGCTCCAAGCTCTCTGGCTGCAGGATTGCACTTTTAAAAGGCTTTTCCCCAGAATTTAATTAACGTTCCCAATAGCCTCTATAATCCTTAAGACAGTGTTATGCCCTTCCTAACCCACATCATTACAAAAAGCTGCCTCAAGGATCAGCCAGATGTAGTTTAAGTGAAGATGTTCCCCACACCACTCCCTGCAGGCTGCCAGCAGGAGCTCACAGGGAATTTGTTCTGTGGTTTTGTTCACATATTCATGGCTAAGGAGCAAGTTATCTATGTGGGCAAATTGCTGCTTGTGCGAACCTCTAAATAAATGTATATATTACCATCTTGGTAATTTATTTTCCTTGACAACATCAGAAGCATTCTGCATTCCCCAATAAGCAAAATTTATCTATGATATTACAGTGTACCAGTATTTAGACCAAGATGTATTTTCTGCTTAATATTACATTTTTCTCTTATAGGCAACAGACATTATAGACCACCTGATCAAATAAAACTATGACAGCAAAATACACAAGCCAAACATCTTTTGATTTTACTTTCATAAAGCACTTCCAAAGCCCAACCAAACACACAGTACTTGGCAAGTTCACCACACCCAAAAAACAAGGTCACATCTCTAAACTGTGTTCTCCAAACACCAGTTCAGCTCCTACTTCACAAAGACTCTGCTATCCACAAATTACACCAGACAAAAATTAAATTGCACATAAGGATCAAGGCAAAAAGAAGGGAGTGTAAGAGCTACCCCTGACTGCAGAGTACAGTATAAATCCTGCTGGTACTTCCATAACTCCAAGGGTGGGCTGACAGTGGAACCTGGCAGAGCAAGTGGCAGAACATTTTAAGGTAAGTAATGCCTTGTATAAACCCAGACTTTGCCAGACTTAGTAGGTTCCTTTCTCCTTCAGTTCAAGCAGATTTCCTCCTCTGATGATTTAATGCACTGTAACAAAGATATCCATCACAAGGAGTAACTCCTCTTCGCCCCAGCATGGCTGGGAATTGTGGGCTAGGAACGGCGCTTGAGGAATGCTGCGGTGCCTCAAATTCCCCCGGCCCACAAGGGAAGGGGCTGTTCTGAAATCCCCAAGGGAGAAAGATCCTTCCAGGATGGAGGAGGAAGAAATTCTGTCCTGTGAGGGTGGCGAGGCCCTGGCTGAGGTTGCCCTGAGCAGCTGCAGCTGCCCTGTCCATGGTCAGGAGCAAGGCCAGGCTGGACAGGGCCTGGAGCACCCTGGGAGAGTGGAGGCTGTTGCTGCCCATGGCCAGGGGTGGAATGGATAATTCTTCAGATCCTCTCCAACCCAAACCTTTCCCAGATTCTATGATGCTATGAGCTGAGAAGGTTTTTAACATCATGTGCCAATAAGAACACAAAAATCAAGACAGTCACCATAATGATAGCATTATTGGAAGAGAAAGAGGTAATATGGTCCGGGACTTGGCCTTAGTAACTCGGGAGCATCCACACAGCACAGCCAGTAAACAAAGAACAAGTCAAGCAAAGTAAACCATATTTTGCAACAACGCCTTTAGAGCTTTGTTTATATTTCCAGTTACCTGTCCTTTGTTAAATAACAAATTATTGTTTGCTTAATCTTAAAGTGACCTTCTTTGATGGACCTCAAGCAAAAAATGATATTTAGAAAAATTAGCCCATTAAAAAAGTGTGCAGGAATAGAATTAAGAAGTCTCCAAATAGTGTGGTGTGTCTGCAGTAAATCACTGCAAGGAAGCATCCCCACATCTACTCCAACCACTCCCTCTGTAAGTAATACCATTGGCTCATATATTATTAAATAATGGCAAGAAAAACACGATAATGATCAGCAGCCAAATCCAAACATAGATTGTAATCTCCAAGATCAGATGTCTGTGGAGATGCATTTATCTGGTGTTCAGTTCCACAGCCTTTCAAAGCTCTTGAGAGAGTCAGACATTTTTACCTGGATGTGATTGTATTATTTACAGTTGATTGTGCCAGGTGCTGTGCCATGGCTCCCTTCAGCAGCTGCTCTCAAGCACTGTCACACCAGTCCACAGCCTCTCTGTCCCTTTACTGTGGGGCTGCAGTTCTGGTCAGCTTGGAAAACTGCAGGAGAAAAGATGGCCCCAACTCCTCCTTCCCTAAAGCAGGACTCACTAGAACCGCTCCTCACGGTACCCTTGTGCAACTTGTCCCAAAAAAATCCCCACTAAGGAGGTGCTCCTCATGTCTAGTCCATATTCCCACTCTTAAACTGTTTCCTACTCACAAGGATTTATTCATTTGCCTTAAAGCCACACTCAAAAAAAAGGAAAATAAAAAGCTGCCTACCAGCCGTGCTTCAAAAACAACTTCTGGTGCACTTTTTGTTCCTCCTGGTGTGCCAGGAAAAAAAATCCTTTATAAGCACTAAGCCCAAAAATGTGGACTTCTTTCAGGTTGTTTTAAAAATATTTTACAGAATTCACATGCAGCAGCTGAGCCCCACAAACCTCTCACCTTGTGCAAGGAACATTCTTTCAAGGCCATTTTGCTTTTATAAATCAAAGGAAGCACAAGTCAGACCACCTAACAGCATATATTTGAATTAAG